CAGGTCTAGGAACGATCGGGCCGAACGCCCATGTTCGAAGCGGCGACGGAGCAGGAGCCGCAGCAGAAGCCGCGAACGTCCTCTGCGGGGTCACATTAACACCATCTCGGGAGGCTTCGCAGGAGGAGGATCGTCTTCGTCCGCGCGAAAGCGACATGTTCGGGCTCTGCAGTCCGTTCATTCGGTGGACAAACCTCGTCGCACAATGCCTCCCATCACCTTTTCGGATGAAGACTTCCACGCACCCAATCCCGACCAGGATGATCCAATGGTGATAACGACTGAGATCGTCCGCTACGACGTCAGTAAGGTCTTAGTGGATCAAGGGAGTTCAGTAAATATCCTCTACTGGAAAACTTTCCAACAGATGGATATCTCGGAGGATCTCATCGTCCCTTACAACGGCCAAATTGTAGGCTTCGCGGGAGAAAGAGTGGACACCCGGGGTTACGTGGAGTTGAGGACAAGGCTGGGGACCGGGCGGTCCAGCGAGGAAAAGAGGGTACGGTATTTGCTGGTCAAGGCCAACACCTCGTACAATGTGTTGCTCGGCCGGCCATGCTTAAATGCTTTTGGGGCGATCGTGTCCACACCCCACCTCACAATGAAATATCCCTCCGAAAAGGGAAGCATATGCATTGTCCGGGCAGATCAGAAGACGACCCGGGAATGTTATGCCACCGGTCTGAAGTTGTACACCCATCAAGGGAAGAGGAGGGCAACCGACTCTGAAGTCGCCATGACCGATCTCGACCCGAGGACGAACACGAAAGACCGACTTGAACCTATGGGAGAGACCCAACCGATCCTAATAGGGAAGGAACCCTCACAGACGACTACCATGACGAGGGGATTGGAGTCCGGAGTGGAAAAAAAGCTTAGGTCGCTCCTGTGGAAGAACAGAGACTTGTTCGCATGGACGGCGGCCGACATGCCGGGAATCCACCCATCGGTCATGTCCCATAATGTATAATCTAAAATGTATCTTAAAATTTGAAAATATATTTTGAATTTATGTAATTTATATATTTGAAATATATTTTCACATTTATATTTGGGCATTTCATAACAAGTTTCTAAATTCTAAATTCTAAAAATGTAAAGAATGAAGATTTTAAGACTTTTCCAACGTTTCATATAGACGCACGTAGAAACGAAAAGGATGCAAAAGCAAATAACACAGTAACCGAGGAACAATATAAGGAGGGATCAAACTTGATGTTTGAATTAGATTCTTCGAAAACTCTTTGTCGTTTTCTTTCTTTCTTTTCACAATGTTATTCCTCTAAGTAATTTTTCTTTGATTATTGGTATAATACCTGAATTCTGAGTTGCTCCTTTTGGAGTGAACTTATGAACTTGTTGATCATACTTATGGTTTATATATCTTGATAGGAATACTATAAAATTATATGATAAAGAACAAACTAATGATTATAGTAAAGATCACGATCACATTTTCACAAACATAATGTTAGCTAGTTTGCGTTCATCTTGACATCAAAGTCTTATGATAATACAACTTACTAGTGCTAGACATGATTTTCAAAAATGATTTTTTTAAATATATAACGAAATTATAAATATATGTAAGTTTTATCATAAATGAAGGAGTTTGGTGGTAAATAATGAGAAGAAAAGTTTTCGGCACTTTAAAGTATTTAAAATATTAGTTTTAATTTCGACAAAAATTTAATAGACTTAGTTTTTATATTTATTCAAAACACATGTTTTAAAGTAAATGGATTACTTTTTTTTTTTTGAACAAGCATTCCGAAATGTTGAAATGTTTTGAGCGATACAATATATATTTTACCCTAATTTAGTTGAAACTTTCTAGTGATTTTAGGATGTTATAGGTAACAAGCAGTTTGATTTTTGAGCTAAGAAATTAGCAATCATAGATATTTATTAAATAATTTTGTTTCATGTTTATAATAAAATTTATTCTCCTGATTGTTTGGTTTGGTTTTTAAATAATGGTTTTTTCTTTTTAGAAATAAATGTTACATGAATCCAATTTACTCAACAAATCAATACCATTTACTCAAAACCTTGAAATAATAGAATTGAGTTTTTTTTATGTGACCTTTACTTATGCCATCATTATTATGAGTTTTTTTTTCTCCAAACATGTCACCAAGATAAACTCATCACTGTTTTTTAGAAAAGATATGAATCATATGTTGTCTGAATGAACTTTTTTATTTTATTCATATATTTTATATATAGAACAAAACATAACAAAATATTAAATATTTTTTAAATCTAAATAATAACTAAAAACTGAAAGAATATTCTAAAGAATTTCTTAAAAATAATTTAAATAAAAAGGGTATTAAATAAAATATTCTTAACACCAAAAAATAATTTATATAGTGTTAGTAAAAGTAGTCTTTAAAGAGAAGATTTTTGTATAATAAAATTAGAATTTGATACACTTACAAGTGGGGGTAACAACACACATACCCATAAACAGAGAACTCAAAATTATGCAGGATAACTCTTTAAAAATATCTTTATTTTTAAAGCCTTAAATTTTAATTTAAAAGTTACAAATAAGCGTTTGAATTTGACTTCACGGTACCTTGGCTTAGCTAATGCTGAAATTGTGAACAAGACACGATTTTGTTTCGTGCGCGCTCATTCTTCCATTTCCAATTTCAAGCACATCAGAATCTGATGTCATAAGAACAATGTTATAAATCAGGGTCTAATATTGGAATATTGCTCTAATTGCAGTATTGCTCTCATGTGTTATGATTCATTCTAAATCATGTTCAATAGACAATTCTGGAGTTCAATCAGAGTCTTATATTGTCTGATGGAAGGAAGAAAAAATATCATCTACTGAAGATTGTTTACTAATGTCGTGACAAATCGTTTAGTACAAATGATAAATACTATGAATTATGATAACACCAACATAAAATAGTTAATCAATTGAAATGATGAAGAAAATATAAATTTAAAGATAACATTTTTGCAAATCATTTTAGGACTACAACAAGAGCCACTGTTAATTGTGTAAGTTTGGTTAATCATGCCAATATACATTTTTCTTTCTCATTACATAAAACATGAGAAGATCCAAGTCATGCGTACCAATTTGCTTACCCAAACAACAAAGGTGTTGCCATGTACACAGCAAACACGCCATTGCATATTCTTCTCCGTTGAATTCTCAGGAGTTCAAAAATTGAGCAGAAATGTAAACTTCAACTCACTTTGAATATCACTTAGCACTGAGAGCAAAACAGGAACACTAAGGAAGATTCTCTTCACATAGAAAAGTGGAAACTAGATTTGATGAACACATACTTACCCTTTTATGGATCTTCTATGTCGAATGATAAGAAATATTCCAGAAGCAAGAAGGGCTGATCCTGCTATGATGGTGGAAATGATAAGTTTCTTTGACCTTTTCTGGTCCTTGTTCCCTCCAATGGCTTCCTCCTCACCTTCTTTTTGCTCGTCCAACTCTTCCTGATCGGATTCATCTCCTTGTTCATCTGTCTTTTCTTCTTCTATTTCATGTGTTCCATTGCTTTCTTCCAGAGCTTTGTGGGTGCATTGTTGATCTTCAGGGGACTCTGGCTGTGGTGTCTCTCTTTGTACAACTTCTTCGTCTGTTTCACCTTGGTTTGATGTTTCCCCATCTATTTCAGAGTCCGTGTCTGAATCTTGAGATTCATCATCACAACTAGCATTTATCTTATCCTTTCCTTCAACTTCAAATGGTTGAGTGGAAGATGAACTTGGAAATTTTGATGGTTCATCCGTTTCATCTTTTCCTTCTTGCATATGATCTAAACTCACAGCCTTATAGCCATCTTCTTTCAAACCATACTTTTCTGATTCACGTGGTTCTGTACTCCCCATTTCTGTAGATGGAGATGGTAGTTGATTTACCTGCAGCTCATCAATCTCACTTTTTTCTTTTGAATGTGTAGCTATGGCTTGTGCAAGTTCTCCTTCTTTGGAAAAGGTTGCTTCTAGTAAATGCATGGTTCTTTTTCCCTCCTTTTGTTGTACTTCCTCTATCTTTGAAGTTTTGTAGTCCTTGCTTGGCAGTGATAATTCAAGAGGTTCTTTTCTTTGGCTTGCTGTAGGCATAGGAGAATGCTCTTCCTTCTTTGATTTTTCAACTTCTTTCTTTGGAGTCATTATTTGATGTTCTCTCTTGCTACTTTCATGCGAATTTTCTGCAGCCCTTTTGAATCCACTAGCCTTCTCAAACTCTGGAGTTATTTCCCCCATTTTAGGCTTCTTATCTTCTGCTGCTGTTGTTTTTCCCAAGGGCTTTTCCTTTTCTTCTTGCAAACGATGTTGATCTTTTACCATCGTTTGGATCTTTGGACCTTCTCTTCCTTTCTGAGATGACTGAGACGACTTCCGTCCTTTTTCTTCAACTTGTATCTTCTCAGATCGATCTCCATCTATTTTCTTCGCACACTCCTCTATTTGTGCATTGTCTTCTTTTGCGCCTTGTGTTTCTCCTATCTCTAGAAATTGTGGTCTCTTTCTTCCATCAAATACCCCAAAATCAACATTCTCTTTCCCACTTATTTGGTCAGTAGACTTGAGTTCTGGCTTTCTAACTTCTTTCTCGCTTCTTTCTTCAGTTTCATCCTCATCAAAAGCCTCAATTGGTTCAACATGCATCTTTATAGACCCCTCTGCTTTCAACTTCACAGTAACATATTCATTCTTATCCTTATTTTGGCCAATTGCTTCCATCACCTTCTTGGGAAGCATTGCCTGAAAAGTCCCCAACACTTCAAATACGACTTTGACCATATTGTTTGGTACATTTGGTCCTTCTCTGGACTTCCTTTCATTGTTGGACTCCTCAGTTTCTTTCTGTAAGATCTCAGTTGCTGTGTTTTTCTGAATAACTCTCCTTGCTTCTTCGCCCTTCTTAGACTTTTGCCCTTGAACCTTTTCCATTAAATTTTCTGTTTCAGCCATTTCTTCTTTGATAATTTCTTTTGGGTCTTCCATGTTTGAAACCTTAAGTCCTCTACTTCCATCTTGTTCCCCCACCAGCTTGGGACCCTCTTCAGATGGTACTTCAGATTTTCCTTCAGTAGTTTTTCCTAGTACATTTCGTTGATCATTATCCGTAATTCCATGCTTAATCTTCTCAACTATCTGAATTTTCTCTTTTGGTATGTCTTTCTCATCTCCCTTTTCCAGAAAATAGCCCATCTCTTCTTCCCCTTCTCTTTTGACCATCGCTTCTCTGATAACTTCACTTTCTTCTCTTGTTTTGGTTGTTAAGTCCTTCTTTGCTTCCGTATGCATCCATTTCGGTTTTTCTCCCTTATTCACAAAACGTTCAACCTCTTTACCTTTTCTTTTGACCATTGCTTCTCTGGTATCATCACTTTCTTTCATTGTCACTTTTGTTGAGTCTTTCTTTGTTTCCCTAATTTTGGATTCTTTACCAAAATTTTCAATCTCCTTGTCTTTTCTTTTGACCATGACTTCATTGGCATCTTCAATTTCATGCATTGTCTTTGTTGCTAGGTCTTTCTTTTCTTCAATATGCATCCTGTTGGGTTCTTCAACTTCACCTTCACTGTTATCCACAAAATACTCAATCTCTTTGCCCTTCCTTTTGATCATAGTTTCTTTGACATCGTCATTTTCATGCATTTCCTCTTTTGTCAAGTCTCTCTTTGTTTCCATGAGCATCCTTATTGATTCTTTGTCTGCACTCTTATCTGAAAAATATTCAATGTCTTTGCCTTCACTTTTTACCTTCACATTTTTGACATTTTCACTTTCATGCAATGTCTCTTCTCTAAAATCCTTTTTTGTTTCCATATACATCCTGTTGGGTTCTTCATCTTCACCCTCATCCGAAAAGCATTTGTTTTCATTGCCTTCATCGGCACCATCACTTTCCTGCACTGTCACTGTTGTTAAGTCCTTCTTGTCTTCCACATGCACCCTTTTAGTCTCTTTATCTTCTTCACCCTTTTCAAAACTTCCAATCTCTTTGCCTTTTCTTTTAGCCATTGCTTCTTTTGCACCTTTTGTTTCTTGCATTGACTCTTTTCCCGTGTTCTTCTTTGTTTCCATATTTGTCATTTTAAGTTCTTCACTTTCACCCTTATCAACAAAATATTCATAATCTTTTCCTTCTGTTTCGACCACTTCTTCTCTCACATCTTCCCTTTCTAGTATAGTCTTTGATGTTAAGTCCTTCTCTGCTTCCACATGCATGGTTATGGGTTCTTCATCTTCACCCTTATCCATAGAATATTCAGTTTCTTTGACTTTCTTTTGTACCATAACTTCTTTGAATTTTTCTCTTTCTTTGTCTCTTTCTTTTGGTAACTCTTTCACGAGCATCTTTATGTGTTCTTCACCATCATACTGGTCAACAAAATTTCCAATCTCTTTCTCTTTTGTTTTGACCTTTGCCTCTTTGACACCTGTTTTTGGTATTGTATCTTTTGTTATGTCCTTTGGTTTGATATGCATCCTTTTGGGTTCTTCACTTTCTTGTGTAGTCTTTGTTGTTAAGTCCTTCTTTTCTTCGACATACATGCTTTTGGGTTCTTTATCTTCACCCTTATCAGCAAAATATTCAGTCTCTTTGGCTTTCCTTTTGACCATAGCTTCTTTGATTTTTTCACTTTGTTGCTTTTTTTCTTTTGTTAACTCTTTGTTTGACTTCGCAAGCATCTTTGTGAGTTCCCCAGCTTCATCCTTATCAGCCAAATTTTCAATTTCTTTGCCTTTTCTTTTGACCATTGCTTCCTTGACACCTTTTATTTCTTGCATTGTCTCTTTTGCTACGTTCTTTGGTTCCATTAGCATCCTTTTGGTCTCTTCATCTTCACCCTTATCCACAAAACATTCACAATCTTTGCATTCTCTATCATCTTCCTTCTTTGCTTCCACATTCATGCTTTTGGGTTCTTCACCTTCACCCTTGTCTACAAAATATTTAGTCTCTTTGCCTTTCATTTTCCCCTTGGCTTCTTTGACATTTTCACTTCCTTGCTTTGTTTCTTTTGTTGACTCTTTCTTTAGTTTCATATTCATCTTCTTGTTTTCTTCACCTCCATCCTTAACAACAAAATTTTTAATCTCTTTGCCTTTTATTTTCACCATTGCTTCTTTGGAACCTTCTATTTCTTGCAATTTGTCTTTTGCCATGTCCGTCTTTGGTTCTATATGCATCCTTTCGGGTCCTTCACTTACACCTTTATTCAAAAAATATTTATAACCGTTGCCTTCTCCTTTGACCATTGCTTCTCTGACATGTTCACTTTCTTGCATGGTCTTTGCTGTTAAGCCCTTCTTTGGTTCCACATCCATGCTTTTGGGTTCACCCTTATCCACAAAATGTTCAATTTCTTTGTCTTTCGTTTTGAGCATAGCTTCTTTTACTTTTTCATTTTCTTGCTCTGTTTCTTTTGTTAATTCTTTCTTTGCATGCGTAATAATCTTTGTGGGTTCTTCACCTTCACCCTTATCAGTAAAATTTCCAATCTCTTCTCCTTTTCCTTTAACGATTGCTTCTTTGACACCATATGTTTCTTGCATTATCTCCTTTGCTATGTTCTTCTTTGCTTCCATATGCATCCTTTCGGGGTTTTCACCACGCTTATCCCCAAAATGTTCATTATTTTTGCCTTCTCTTTTTAGCATTGCTTCATGGATATCTTCATTTTCTTGTATTTTCTCTTTTTTGAAGTCCTTCGCTTCCATATACAACCTGTTGTGTTCTTTCCTTTCACCCTTATCTTCAATTTTTTCAATCCCTTCGTCTTTTCTTTTGGACATTTCTTCTTTGACATCTTCATTTTCTTGCAGTGTCTTTTTTGCCAAGTCTTTTTTGGCTTCCTTGTGCATCCTTCTGAGTTCTTCACCTTCATCCTTATCCACCAAATATTCATTCTCTTTCCATTTTGTTTTGATCTTTGCTTCTTTGACATCTTCAGTTTCTTGCATTTTTGAAACACTCAACCTTTTGCCATCCTCAGTTGTGCCTTTTGGTAACTTCTGAGGAAATTCTTTCCTTCTTATTTCCATTAAATCAAATTCTTCCTTACCAGCCTTTACTCCATCATATACTTGATCTCCATTCCCAGTTTCAATCTTAGGCAGAATATGATCTTTATTCCCTGTTTGAATCCTAGGCTTTTTAATGTTCTCTTGCATGTTCTTGCCATATATGTGCTTTTTACCATCCTTACTTGCCTGAATTGGAATTTTTTCAGATTTCCCTTCATCCATATTCTCTTTTATGCTTTTAGTTTTCTTCTTCCATTGAATCCTGGACTCCTTATATCCTTCTTGGCTTATACCACCAATGTTAGCAGGAATCTGATCATCTACATTTTGGTCAAGTTGTGGGGCCTTCATTGTTTCCATTCTATTTTCCTTCAGACTTTCATTTAGTCTATCCTCAGTTTCAGAACTCGGTTCTCCAAATTGTTTTTGGTTTGACTCTCCAAGTGTCTCTCCTTCAGTAGACACATTGGCTTCAACAACCATCTCTTCTGGCTCTTCTCTCTCCATATTCTCTACAATACTTTTGTTTCCCCCCATTTGTTCTATAACAGAATCTTTAGATACTCCTTGGATTTTATCTACAATATTCTGTGTGACATCTGCACCTACATTCTGCTCAATTTCTGATATCTTTATTCCTTTATGTCCTGCTCTCACATTATTTTCTTTCACACTTTCTCCATCTCTTTCCTTGATTTCTGACTTGGATTCTTCTTCTTTCTGGATCACCTCTCCAATTATGTTTGCATTGGCATCATCAAGCATATTTTCACTTGGTCCTTTCTCCTCCTTCTCTACAAAACCTTCATTGCCCTCCATTTCTTGAACCTTCAACTCTTTATCTTGTCTTGTATCTCCTCCAATGTCTTTAGGCATACCTTCATCTACACTTTTCCCCTCTGCTGATGGTTTTACTCTTCCATCCTCATTCTTCAACTTTAATTCTTTGATTTCCTTTTGGCTTGCTTCTCCAATTTTCTGTGAGGTGGCTACTCCAACTTTTTGCTCTGGTTCTGATGTCTTCTTCACTTCATATTCTTCCTTTCCAACTTCTCTAAAACTATCTCCATTTTCACCATCAGTTCCAACTTTAGATTCTTCTAATTCTTTATGTACAGTATCCTTAGTTATTTTCCTGTTGGAATCATCAAGTATCTTGTGAGACACTTCTTCCTTCTTCTCCATAGAATGTTCACTCTCCTCCATTTCCTGAACTTCAGACTCTTTAGACCCCTTTTGGCTTGTCTCTCCAACAGCACTAGGAATGTGATCACCTTCAATTTTCTCTTGTTCTGATCTCCTTCCATCAGATTTTTCTTCCTTGATCTCTTCAATCTTAACCCCACAAATTCCTTTAACCAATTTTGGCATGACAATGTTCATTATCCATTCCTCCTCATCATACTTGGCTTTGATCCCATCCAATTTCACCCCATCAGGAATTTTGAAAACCTTATTAAACCCTGCAACATCAACCTCTTTCCTATGCATTAACCATCCCATCATCAAAATATTCTGAACAGGCTTCTCTCCACTAACTGATATCTTGCTACCATCTTCACTAATCTTGATGTTAATGTTATTCTTCTTAAAACCTGTTTTCATTGGATACTTACTATGATTTATTCCATAAAGAATAAAAGAACAAAAATGTGAAAAGAAAATAAGGACAAACAAGTACATCACTTATCACTTATATGCTAGATCACAGATATCCTTCAAATCCTACAAGCCTTGTTCTTACATAACCGATACTCAAGTTTGAATTCTAAGTATATAACTGCATTAAATGATTTGAAAGAGGGTTTTGCCATCATAATAGTTTTGCCTGATTCAAGCAAGATTGTATATCATGAAGAATAATTGTGATCTCTGCTAAAAAGCTAAATGAGTTATGCAAGATGTTACAAGACTGACCTTTGAGATGAGCAGTGAGGATGAAAGCAGTGTTTGTTTCTCTAGATTGAAAAACAGGTCCTGCTTTTGCTAATCGATATTCAGAGATGGAAGCAACGTCATCTCTAGTTTTGGTGATTTTGAGTCCCAATTCCAGGTCCATCTATTATGTTGCTGCTATAATATTTCCAGAACAAGGATTAAAAAAATGTGGTGTCAGAATTTAAAATAAAAAGTTTTAGATTTTGTAATAAGTATCCAAACAGAAAAATGATATTTGAGGCTTCTATCATTGGCTGGTCATAATTGTGAAGTATTATTCTTTTCTTTCATTGTGAGTCCTAAATATGAGGATGATGCCTATACGGTTTGTGTTGTTCTTTCTTTTGAGGGAAGCTAGTACTTCCATTCCTTTCAAAGATTCTAGTTTTCAAAGCTCTCTTCATTAAAAACCAGACCTTTGTTCAGTGAATTCATGATTATTGTCTTGTAATGAAATTCCAATACTATTTGTGTCACTTACTATTGCTTTTCTTGTTTCAGAAAACCAAGGTTTGAAGCATGGTTGGAAATGTTATGTGATGAACTAGGTTTAATGCTATGCCCAAAAGATTGATTAATAGCTTTTGTTTGATGAAGAAAAACATTTCAAGCAGAAGTAAAAATAAAATATATTCCATAACCCCCTTTCTTTTCTTATTCTACAAACTACAAATTTAAGTGTATAAATATCGTAATTATAGTATAATTTATAATTTTTGGTAATGTATAATGAGAATAAGAATTTTTTATTTGGTGTATATAAATTATGCTTTTATTTTACTTTTATTTGTAATAAATGTATTGTGTAATGTGGAAGGGAAGGAACGCAGGTTAACAAAATGAGAGTGTAATTGTGATGAGTGAAACCCTTGCATAGTTAAACTTTAAATTTTAAAATACAAACCATTTTATTTTAAAAACATATAAAATTAAAATTAATATAAATGTTATTAGCTCATTAAAATAAAATAATAAAATAGAAAATACAGACTCATAACAACTTTATTTCAACATTTTTTGGACAAGGTAAATGGATAAAACAAATATTGTTATTTTCATGTTATTAATTCCATTAAACAATAACAGTAATTTCAACTATTATATTCCCCAAATATTAATAAGGAAAATTGAACTCACAATTTCTCTCACATTTTTTTTTAAATTTTTATCACTAAATCAACCTTATAATTCATTCTTTAGATAAATTAAATCTTAGTTTTGATAAATAAAACAATCGTACTTGATTTTTAGTTCTTTTCTCCTTTTCTTCTTGAATAGATGTTTAATACGTTGCAAATGTAGGATTGATATTCTGCAGTCTTACATGAAGTGATTAAGTTGCTGGAAGAAATTTCCAAAGGACTTTTGAATTAAAGTACACTTCAATCTAGAAAAAAAGAGGTATTACAACATCTTAATAACCAAGTAGTTCACAAGGTTTTAATGCAACTCCTTCCATTTACTATAATGAGGATAATGCAAGAACCCTTGTCAACTTCTCGTCTCCAATACTCCCTCCCATGTGCATAATTTAGGAATTTGTGAAATTTATATATCTCTTTGCCTTATTGGTACTCAATGCACATTATATCTTAGTCAAGTCCAATTACCATCTTGGTAATGTCATTCACATAAGTTATTTATCAAACATATAAGTTTGCTCAATTCACATCAAATATATCATGTTGTTGAGGATATCAATAAATAAATTAAGTCAAAGGAATAAATAAGTAAATCGACACACAAGGTTAAAGAGAGTAAAATAGTGAAAAAAAATGTGTCGAAACAAGTAGAATTGAAGAATGGAACTGAGGGAGTACTATTAAGAAATCTAGAAAAGCCTGATCAAGAAAAAAAACATAAATAAAAATCGAGTTAAGACAAAAAGACATAGAAAAAAAGTATGATCAAGATAGAGACATAAAAAACAGGCGATCAAAAGGGCAAAGACTACAACTAGATAGAGAGAGAAGTTATATACAATAATTATTACAAAACATGGAAATAAAGAGAACATTTGGCACAACATGGATAGTTTAAGGCAATTACTTTATTTATTTATTTTTACTTTTATTTTATTTGTTAAGTTATTCTCAAAATAAATGGAAAAAATATAAATAGGTAGTTCAATGTAAAAAAGGGTGATAAATTGTGGATATAATTTCAAATAGTTTGATAACACCAAAAACAAGAAAAATGGTTAATCTGGTGTTGTTGTAGCAATTTAGGTCATAACTTTTGTTGATTTACTTTACTGGTTGTTTTTCTATCCTTAGTAATTTACTTTACTACGATTTATTGTTGAAAACCTTCATCTCTGTTCTCTTATTCATCTATTACTCTGCATTTTATATTTTGAGCCATCTACCACAATCTTTAAAAAAAATACCAAAAATATGATTGTTGAAGATAAATGCACAAATTATTGATTGAAATTTATGTTAAGAGAGAACTTAATTTGAAGATATTTGTGATTCTATTTCATAATATAAGTGGATTTTTCATCCATTTGATCTTGGTAATGAACTCATAAACACTTTAATTCATATTGAAAAATATAAATTTGCTA